TGGAGGCTTCTGTGGAAGATGCTGGCATTGAGATGGGTTAGAGTCAGAAAGAGACAACAGAACAGGGATTTGAGCAGAAAATTTAAATTTAATATGGGATTGGTTACACCAACGTTGGAGGGCTCAGTGAGGAAGGGCATTCACTGAGGTCATCCAGAAATAATCCAGGAAGCAGCTACTACCACCAGGGCTGAGGGCATAAGACAGAGGCTAGTGTTCCAGGTCTAGAGTCTTGGAGGAAAGGCCTGGGAAGCTGGGTGTCATGTCCTGAGGGGCCTTTGGGAGGCTGGTGAGATGGTCTTTGGGGAGCTCAAAGAATAAGGAGGCTAAATCACCACTGGGAACACACTGCTGAGGTGATCCAGGTAGGAACAAATTTGAGAGAAGTTCTTCCTTTTCTCCTTCTGATTCCTCTTTTCCCTCTGGAGCCCCTCACTGGCGGAAGCTAGTAGAAAGCCAACTAGTAAAGAAAAAATCTAGTTCGTAGAACCCTAGCTCAGTAACACAAAGCAGAACAGAGAAGAGTGAACTTGGGAATGAAGAACCGTAGCTCAACACACACAGAACATGCCTTACTCCTTCTACTTTGAAAAGCAAACCTCAAGATGATAGAGACTTTACTGGAATCTCTCCCCTTGTCAGGGCCACACAGGACTTAGTAAATATTTGTTGAATGGCATGGATGATGTTAGCATATCCTTGTGATAATACAATCCATTCTGGACCTCAGACTTGAATATTTAAGACAGCAGCATTCTATTAGTATTTTATGTCCCTACTTAGGAAGTTTCCTCTATGCCAAACAGAATCATTTAGGAAAGTCCTATCAGGATGAAGAACCTTTGTGTAAGAGGAGTAGCCTCCTGGTGTCAGAGGTTTAATGCAAAGATGTTCTAAGAGCAGCTTAGTTGCTTCTCTAAAATCTCTTAAAAAATCATTGTTCAGAGGCAGGGATCAACTTCCATGGTGATGTGAGGATTCTGAAGAGTTTTCAGATAAAGAATATAATGCAAGCTCTAAGAAACTCACAAGGTCTTTCTAAAAATAATCCAGGCATCAGTACAAAAGAGTTTCTGCACCTATCCAGCATCTTTTTTTAATCAAGTAAGTCTGACAGTGAGGGTTTTGTTCTAAGAAGTCAATGGTAGTTGAATGATTGATTATAGAGATTACTGGAGGAAAGGCCAAAAATACAATGGTCTGATATCACCAAAAGCAAAAGCAAAGTGTAAAATGAGGACAAAGACCTTCTACTAATGCAGCAAACTTAAAATGGTGTTGATATTGCAGTTCGCAGCCCAGAATTATCTATGTCAAATTAATTACACTTCCCCAGTCTTTTTCTTCCCACTGAAATAAAAATGATAATGAGCAACACCATGCTGAAGAGGTGTATCAGGCTTTTCTTTGATACTCAGGATTCAATGAATATCAATTATATAATATGCTATGCATGAAAATACTTCAACCATTAAGAACTTGTGCAGAATAACTTTAATTTCCATATGAAATTCCAAAGAAAAAAGCCTAGAAAATGCTGCACACATTTGCTTGTATTAGCTTTTATTTTAAGATGTGGTTTTTGAACCCAAATTCCAACAAGCCACATATGCTTTTGCCAAGAGTGTTTCCAGGGAAAGGTTTACCTCAAACTATTCCATTGGATTATCTTCCAGAAAACAAACACTTTATAAAAGGAAGCCTGCTTACTGTCAGAGTTCAGGGCATGTGGACTATTGAGGTAACAGTTCTATCCTCAAAGCACATGTTTCCTTCTCAACTTGCATTTGTCTTGGAACTAAACCCCAATAAAGCTTAAGAAAAAATGATCTATTTTCTAACCATTTCTAAAACAGAATGAAATTAAAGATCACAGAACATTCACTGGAGCAGCCAACAAAGGCTACAGAACCATAAATGTTCTGGCTTGCTACCTTGTTGATATGAGCAACAGAATAAAGAGATTTAAGTAGGAAAGAGCATTTTAAACATGGAATAATGTTTAAGGAATGGTTAGTTTGTTTCCCTCTAGAAATCCTCACTCTTGTTCTCTTGGGAAAAGTCTAATCAATTTAAATGCTCCCCGCTATTCTACTTGTGAATGGAATGAGGACTATATTTCTCATGTTACATAAATGAATCTCATCCCCGAGGCTTTGAAATAAAGCTTTATCACAGACAGTCAATTTGTGCGTCATCTCATCTTTCTGCATTACAGTAAAATTGATTTCATGATTCCTTCCTCATAAATCACAGGCCGCAGGCTACTGCAGCCTGGACTCCTGCTTGTCTTCCCAGTGTCAGGGCTGGGTGTTCTTTTCTTAGGAATCACATCTACCTCCTCAAGCTTGCAATTCTGGTTACAGGTCTGTTTTCTGAAAAAAGTAGTCCATCAGACCCAGGATATGTCCTTGTCTGATTTGAATCCTCTAACCTGAGTATCATCCCCAAAGCCTTTTGCGCATCATTGGAGTGAAATATTTTGTGAAAAATATTGTGCTCACTGTGCAAATGAATGCCCAACAGAACTGCCAGCCATAAAAACGATGTCTTCCTTCTCCCCTCCCCCTCCACTCCTGACATGAGAGCAGAAACCCACAGCACTATTCAGGTTTCTGGCAGTCTGCTGCTGGGCTCTACTTTCCTGTAAGGATGTGGTTGTTTGATCAAAAGGACTATTACTGGGCTGGGGATGTAGCTCAGCAGCACAGCACCGACCTAGCAAGTGCAAGGCCCTGAGTTTGATTCCTGGTACCGAAAAAAAAAAAAAAAAAGACTATAACTTTAATGCTTTTTCTTCTTAAAGTGACTGACTCCCTGTCAGTTCTCTGACATACTGACTAGTCTAACTAGAGGGGAAAAATGGGTTATCACATACAATTACCAAACACCCTGACTTTTCTGTAATTCCTTGGGCTCGCCTTTGGGATAGCAGGTAATTCCTCAAGGATAACTCAAGACTGGGCATGAAGTAAACAGAAGGAGGTCTCTTCAGCTCGCTTGCTGGCAGTATGTGCCCTGGGCCCTGGGGAGGTGTGCACTGAGAACCCAGTGGAGGTTTACATGTGTTCACACATACCCAGCACACTGCTTCTGAGTTCACCTCTGTGGCCTCCATCAGTCTTGGTTCTCTCAACTGGATATGCAGCCACTTGTACACTGCCCCAGGGAGCAGAATGCTGTCAAAGAAGTGGCGAGTTAAGAAGAAAAGGGTTTGGTTCTCCAAATATTTTGGCTAAACCAAATCTTAACACTAATCTTAGAGTCACTTTGTAAAAGTCCAATTAAATCTTTTGGTTTTAATATTTCAACTGACTCTTCACCTTTTCTTTCTCTATGCTTTAGAATGAAATCCCTTAACAGTGAATTATTATTCATCAACTGAGAAAGTATGAGCCCAAAAGCACAACTGTTTGGGCCGGTGCTTTATTCAAGTATCAGCAGAGTGCCCTAGTTCAGCATGGCAAAGGCAGCAAGGTGCAGAACAGTTTCATTTCTTGCTGGGTTTACTAACTGTACTACTTGAACATTTTTTCTCTAAGAGTACTCACCACACAATGTGTATTATAATGTGCTTATGTAAATACATTGCCTGGCCCCCAAAACTTTGAGAGCTGAAATAACTTTTTCCTGTTTGTTTTCCTAGCACTTTAATACCTGCTTCAGAGATAGTTCTCAATGAATATTTGAGTAAGCAAAACCGTTGTTTTGCTTTTGGATGAAATGTCTTCTTTTTAGAAACGATGTAACAGAAAAATCTCTGATGCATACAACACTCAAACCATGACAGCAGGGAGTGGGCAGGAAATAGACTTACATAGATGGATCTCCCTGGGGTGGGCAGTGGGGGATATATTAGGGAGAGTTAAAAATCAGTCTTGCTCAAGGAGCCCATGGCCAACAACTTTATTTGGCCCAAGACCAACTAAAACATTTTGCTTTTTCTATGGAGCCTTCAGTATCAAACAAACTAGCATGCAGTGTTTTTGCTTGTTTTGATTTTTTGAAGGGAAGCTTTTTATTTTAGAGTTACTCTAGCAAAACAATATTTTATGAGAATTCTCTTAAAATTCCCTTTGGATTACTAGTTTTCTAGATAAAACACTGTAAATAACAGCAGTTTGAACCAAGTTTTTAACTAGAGAATCCAATTATGTATTCCTGCGGTGTCTTTTTTTTTTTTTTAATCAAGTACCTCAGGGCATGGAGGGTAATTCCCACTCTCAGGTGCCTAAACCTTGCTTCTTCCGCCCTTTCAAACCAGATGTCTCTACACTTCCTTCTAAAGCTCTTTTGAACAACATTAGCTGACATGAATCTTTGGGTAGTTGAGATTAACAACTAGATTTTTCTCTTTCAGGTTGTGCTCTACATTGCTGTTTTCTTTTTTTTTTTTTTCCAGTTTCCAATTAAGGTACTTGGGCAAATACTCAAGTGAATGAGTTAAGTCTAGAGTCTAACTGTTTTACATATCAGGGAAAAAAAGGTTTTTACCTGTGTGGAAAAAGGTTATGAAATTGGGGCTGGGGATTTAGCTCAGCGGCAAAGCGCCTGCCTGGCAAGCCCAAGGTCGTGAATTTGGTTCCCGGTACCGGAGAAAAACCAAAAAACCAAAAAAAAAAAAAAGTTATGAAATTATGCTTAGAATGAATAGTTTTTCTAAGACTTGTATAAATATCTCTTCCTTTAGGGCAGTGATTATTCCAGACGTTGGTAACTAACACTGTCAGTGACCCACACAATGTTCATTGAAAAATTCACCAACTATTATATGAGATTTACCCAGGGACATTTTTCAAACTACACAGTCTTCTTCCACAAATACTGATTTTTGTCGTTGTTTTCTCTGCCTACAACCAAGACCACAGTGACCCACTGACTACAGTGTACCACATCCCTTCGTGTGTCAGGGTTAAAACAGACTTAAGAGTCACTGTTTTAAGACTCACCAGCAGATAAAACATTTCAAACGACAATTACATAAGAGCGTGAAGACCGTATTTGCTTAAATTACATTATTTATTTATTTTTTGATTATCCCTCTTAGTCCTGCATGCATCGTTAGCACAAAAAGTTGAACATGATCATAACCTCTTTCGAAGACGGGGCAGAACACACCATCTGAAGAGTTTCTCCCTGGATGATCCAAGAATTCCAGACGTTGGTAACTGACACTGTCAGGGACCCACACAATGTTCATAGAAAAATTCACCAACTATCCTCTGTTTAATGTAAACAAGGCAGGAGGCCAACAGAGTATTACAGTAACACTATTTTACAGGGCCCACAAGTATGAGTATCTATCATGTTTCAGCATATCAAGTATCACAATGACATGCACATTTTGATGTATTGTACAACCAAAAATATAATTACCATATAATTTGTGGCTTCTGCACTTCACTGTAACTTCTTCTGTCAATACCTATTAACTTCATAATTAAATGGTAATTATATAGTAATATAATAATTTGTAGAAATGTTACCATGAATTTATGAAGTAATTCCATAATTTGTGCCCTGTAAAATGAAGTGTAACAATCTTTACACTAGCAATAGTGTAAGCAAGCTAAGGATTTTGGTCCTTATATATACATATATATACACATGTACACACAGTAATATACAATTAAACCCAAAAACTGTGAAACCACTCATAGCTTCCATATTGCACAGATACATTATGAAAACATTACAGCGTTATAGTGTGAATACTACAATAATTGGCTATGACAAATCTGAGTTCTATGAAGTAAAGAATGTACCTCATTACTAAAAATAAATCCACAGACTACATTGTTGGAAAGTTAAAAATATGTGCACACTTATTTATACAAATGTGAAGCAAGGCTAAAATTCAGTTTAGAAGCTGCTATGGCAATCAATTGTTAAGGTAGTACTTTCTACCCGCCACAGTGCACTTTGGTTACTGTTCTTATAAGCACTGAGTAATGGAAATATTCACCTTCAGAAAGACAGTAAGAAAATGGCCAGTGATGTAGTACAATGCTTTGTGAAATTAACACATGCAACTCAATGAGGGAACTTGTGCTGGCACCAGCTCCAAACTAAATATGGAAAAAAAAAAAATAGAAAAAAGGAAAAAAAGAGAAATGCAACACTAAACCTTAAGCCTTAGCTGACTATATCAAAGTCATTACAATAACTTAGGAAAATTATATTTTCAGAAGCAGCATATACACACACACATATATGAGTTAAAGCTTTTCTGAGCTTGGTTTCATGGATTAGCTATAAGGACCCATTGTGAAAATCAAAGATAAAAGAGTATTTGGTTTGAGAGGTAACACCATTGCTATTAAGTGCATTAAGCACTATGACAGCATTAAGAAATATCTAATATCTCTTAATATCTTATTTTAAATATACCCACATCAAAGTAGACTGTAACTACATCTAAAAATGGAGATGCTGCAATGTTCCTTCATAAACTGGTCAACAAATAAAGCACACTGAATAATGCTTGCTATCATTCAAAATTACAGAAAAACATCAAACGAAGTAACTATCTCTTATTTTTGTTGTTTCATTGTTTTACTTACTGAATTTTTTTAGACCAAGCTAAGAAAGATTTGTGTTAAATTACAAATTTAGTCTTTTTGTTGTTTTAACAATGAGCATTTTAGAGCTGAGATTATTCATAATCTCGGTATTTCGTTCCTAATAAATAGTAAAAACTCACTACAAAAATCAATCAGAAACACTACAACGAAGTGAGCAGATAAGCACAAAACACACCTCTGCGCACACGCCTCTGCGTACACACCACACAACATGTATGCAAACGTGCCACACGAAATGAGTTCACAAGCTGAGCCAGCTCCTCTCAAGATGGGCCGAGATGGAACACGTTACAGTACCTCCCCCAAAGTCAGTACATGGAAAGATAAAGAGGAAAGTGCTGCTGCTTAACATTTCAGGAAAAAAAAAGCGCTTTAAAGCAATATTGGGACAATAAACACCACTTACAGAGAGAACAGAAGGACACAAGCAAACTCCTTGGTGTCAAGTTACTACAGCCTGCTGCGCATCACACAGTGGGAAACCAGACTCTCCCGCATGTACACGCGCTCAGTGTACACCCAGCCTCTCACCCCTTTAACACGTAAACAGGACACTGAAGAGAATGTCTTCTTTCATTTCTCTAGAATCATTTAAGATAAAAATGAAATGAAAAAATGTAAACATTAAGATGCCATTGGCATTCTGATTGTTGCCTACCTGGACACTACCACGCACTTCAACAAGAAAATCAGCTATGAAATAATTTTTGGAGGGAAAGAAGGAAAAAACTGTCAATGAGTGCATATCAACTAGATTAAAAATACTATTTTAGCAAACACTACCAACGATGAACAAAAATTCAATGTTGTTGCAAAAATGACAGTATAAGTAAACTGGGACCCATATGTGAAAATTAATCATTAACATGGCTATGTGCACAAAAGAGTAATAGAATGTTCCTTTAAAAATATATATTAATCAAGAATTTCTTTATCATATTAAATTGTTATTCTTAGAAAAGCTAAAGAAAATTGACGCTGTTCTACACATTTTTATTGACTAGAATTAACAATTCATGGATGGTTCCTGAATTATATTTTTTCTCATTTACAGTTTTAAATACTTTGTTTGATAAGAATCTTAACCTTAAAAAGTTATAAAATTAGTGAATTTTTTGCTACTTATTAATCCAAAAGAATCTAAGCATTTGAGCCCCAGAGAATGTCAAAATGCCTTGCTACCTAAAACGATGTTATGGTAACAGAAACATCACCAAAGTCATGCCATCAGGAATTTTGCAGCATTTCACATAGTCACTAGAAATGCTATTCCCTGGAGTTCCTTTGATTGTATCCCGGGTTCAGCAACACACAACATACAGACCCATTATGACAAAGCCGATGAAAACAACATTACACCACATTTTACCAGGAGCGTTCACCTAAAAGGTTCTATCCGGTTTACAATAATACTTCATTTAAAAAGGCTTTTCCTCCCCTCTTGGCTGGGTGGAACCGAGTTCTTTCTGATGAAATGTACACCACAGTTCAGTTCCCCAAGTGACTTGAAAGACGTCATGGCGTGGAGGACGCATGGTATTTCACGAATGCAATTGCGGCCAGCTCCTTACAGAACTCTTCTAACACAATCACACCCTCCAGCAGCGTGATGTGGTCAATACTGGGAAAGCAGACAGAAATCAATTTAAGTTATCAGCAGGTCATTGAATTTGGTGAAATTTTTGGATAAAAGTATGTAAAACAATGACTCACACAGGGCCTTCAGGTTCCAAACCAAGTAATCGCTTCCTGACTAATAGGAGCTTAGGCGTGAAATCTTGAATACGCTGAATTCGAACCATCAGGTCTCCAACAACCTGCACCAGAGACAAGAAACTTAGTTCCTGAAATTGACTATACAAGGATTCTCTGATTGAAAAAAACATCTTTCCTATCACAACAAACCTACTCCATAGTTTCTTTGACCAAAGACTCATCTGGTCTTTAAAATATAAAAATTATATGTATTATTTATAAGAATGAGTTCTTCTCCTTCCCCATCCTATAAATAGTTCAGAATGTACAATAAGTAGTTTAAACACAGACACATAATACTCCTCACTATGTAACACTGACTACATGCAATGATATGAAGATGAGGACTGGATGGGTTTATCGATTCTAGAGAATATAGTAGAACTGAACTCACCCTGACGATTACAGAGAAGAGTGATCTACAACCAGAGGCAAGGTTCACGTAGGGATCCAAAAGGTACTCGTGCGTGTGTGGATGGGGGAAGAGGGACAATCTGGACAACACCGAAGTCACCTGTAAATTCACATCGTACGGCTGTGGGGGGTTAAGGACAGAAAGACAGCTGGTATGATTTATAATGTGCATACTATGTGCTTAACTTACCACTTTAATTTCTCTAAGAAAGGAAAACACACCATTCTACTCCTCTCTCCACATGTTCTTCTGCAGTGATAATATCTACAACTAAACTGGCTGTCACCATCTTAATGCATATAGCAGAGTCCTAAAACTTAAAACATAAAAGACATGCATTGAAACATGTAGAAAAGACAGAGATATGATATAACAGGATGTTTATGTGGGTTGGCTGAATTAATGAAAAGGTGAAAGTCATCAATAACCACCAATATGCTGCATATATTAATTACAAACCAGGGGACAAATTAAGGCTAAGACTAAATAAAAAGATATTCCATCTTTTAAATATAATAAAATAGGTTTGGAAATGGTATTCTTCATCTCAGAGTCTTCAATGGCTGCCAAGTACCAAAAGCACATCTACAATAAAATGAATTCAAATCACAGAGCTTTGTAAACAGAATGAAAGATTTAGGGAAGAAATGGTTACCCTATGCCTGGAGATGACAAGGAGATGAAGACTAAGTCCGATATTAGCAATGGAATCTGAATTTTTATTCTCATCCACTAAGCAGCTTTGAAACCCCTGATCAAAATGAATACCAACCAGAAGTGAATCTGGCATTCAGAGAATGCCTGGGCACATGCCAGAAGATAATCAGAGGTGCTCCAATGAGTGTATGTTTTGGCACATAGTCAAAACTCACTCCTAGCTCTAAGTCCAATTTTAGTCTCTCTATTAACCATGAGATTCATAAACATGGATTTTCTGCAAGAATAAAAATATATCCTTGAGTCAATCTTTTCCAAAATATAGTCTTACGGCAAGATAAATGGAAGAAGATTTGTATTCCTAATAAAGGAACATCTAAGAGTGTATTCTTCTACTTGACAATATTTGCAGCAAGATAGTCTTTTCCAAGACTCAACTTACAGCAAGAAATGAACTCTCACCAAATGTGACAAGTGGCTAAGTTGCTTGCCTAACTTCAAACTCTTCACAGTCAGGGCAGGACAAGACTGGGCCTCTTGATGACATTTTTCCTAGTGGTCTTTACATTCTGTTGTGGATGTCAGCACTGTTCTACCTTTATGAAACCACCACAGGTACAAACTACTGTTTGTGTTGTACACTAGTTTTCCATTAACATTGTGACCACATTATTGTGGCATGAGTACTTAATTTAATGCAATAACTTTTCAACTAAGCATGAAGACATTATCTACTTTATGAACTATCCGTATTTAACATTTCATCTATTTAACTATCCATATTTAATCCCAGGTTGGTTACCTTGACCCCATTAGGAACACACCCTATGAAAACACAGACGAACACCTGGCTTAGCAAAAAACAGGAAAGAAAATGAAATCAAACCAAACACATGGAACCCCACAAGACGCATGCATTATCTTTAAGATCAGACTGTAGGACATTCTTATGAAAGAAGCTGGAAAACCTAAGGTTTTAAGGAACAAAAGGCTCCAGGCTGCTCTGTAGCTTATTCTAAGTCCTATAACTGAAGTTAAGGATTCCTCGTCTATGACACAGTACTAGAAACCTGTGTGCCCATGACAGAGGGGCTACAGGAAGAATGACGGAGACGGCAGAGGCATCCTGCGCCGTGCCGAGCTCTCGAGGGCACTCTGTCCTCAAGCATCCTTTTGTGTCTGCATGCAACAAGCTAGGGAAAGGTGCTCAATTGCAATGATGATTCAGGGTGGATTTTTTGACTCAGAAACTACTTTTTTAAAAGTGGGTTCTTTTTCAGCACTTTTGATCAAAGTTTCTAAAAATTACTGACTTGATACTGGCTATTAATATCTCTTGCTTATTAGCTCAACCAGATTCAAACTAAGCCTGGCACGGGGCTGGGGATTTACCTCAGTGGCACAGCGCCTGCCTGGCAAGTGCAAGGTCGTGAGTTCGATTCCCAGTACCAGAAAAAAGCAAACTAAGCCTGGAAAACGAGTGGCAAAAACCCTAACTAACTGATGAATTCGGCCACCCAGGAGATTTACACCAAGAGGTACAGACCACGCTCATTAATGCCAGACTTGTATACTTTAGCTGTCCGCTTTAAAACAAAACACCAGAAACACAGCATATCCTACCTAAAAGTTAAAAGAAAAAAGGACCTGGATCTTCACTGATGCTGGATACAATCCTGAATAAGGCTAACCTGCATGCAGCACTTCTTAAATTATATCTTCTTTATTTGACTTCGTAGGTACTGAAGAAAGCATACTCGTGGAGTAAATTTCTTTTATAACTTCCTATACTCACATAAAGATTTACCCAAAATGCTAAAGACAAGAGCAAGTACTTTAATATTCAAATTTCAAATTAATTCCAAATTAGTTAACTCAGTTTCTCTGTTGAGAGAGGAATTGTGCCGGTGGTTCTACTTCAAGTGAGTAAGCCACTGTCCTCACTCTGTCAGTGAGAGTGCGGCTGCTATGTATGTCATCTTAACCCTCGATGCGGCATAGCAACGTATCAGTCGATGGTGATCTTCATCCACTTTTGATGTAAATGAACCTTTCTGACTTCCCCTTCCCCCCATGAAAATGAAGTGTTCACCAACTCTTTGTCTGAAGAAAGCCAGTTCACTATTTTAATGAGACCAGCATGTTCAAGATTCAATTTGAAATGACATTTAGGATCTTTGGAGTTGCGCTTACATTTTACTATCTGTATCCATACTAACCAACTATATTAACAGAAGGGCTTTCCAGGTTAGTCATAAAGGAAAGCCTAATCGCCTCCAAAATGAGGGCCTGTAATAAGAAGTCACGCAGTTCTGTAATAGCGGCCGGGCCAAATGAATGTTTTTAACATTTTGAATGCATCAGAACCCAACTAGCTGTTGGCAATAAAGCCTTATGGAGAAATCCTCCAGGGGAAGAACTAAGAATGAAAACAGTTAACTGAAAATCTAAACTAAAACTTGAGATCGTATCATGGTGAATAGTAATAAAATATGAAAATTAGTATTTTAAAATATATTACCTGATCAAGAATTCTTCCCATTCTGTCAAATAAAACTTTCAAAAAGTGACCTTCAAAGAAAGCTGCTTCTAAATTGCACTTTTCCAATGCTTTCGGAGACCCAGGCCATTCCCATCGTAAGCAGATAGCACAGTAGTCCCTGAACTAGCGGGAGAAAAGCATTTGTATCATCAAAGAACTACCAGAAAACAGATGAAGACAAAATAGAAATAATTTCCCCAAACATGCATAAAGAACCACTTGAATGCAGAGCATCTTGTATGTGTGAGGTGCCAGAGAGAGGAGACAGAGGTGACTAAGTGTCTGACCAGGAGGGGCAGAGGGAAGCTCAGGACTGGCACGAACTAAAATAAGATGGTGGGGAACAAAGGCGTATTTTAACTTCATTAGAATATTCCCTTTGGAGTCCAGACCTGGTAGCAAGCGCCTAGATCCTGAGGCAGAAGGAACGCTACAGACTGAGGCCAGCCTGGGCTACAAAGTCAGTTCAAGACCAGCCTAGAATACAGCAAGACTCTGTCTCAAAAAAAAAAAAAAAGAAAAAGAAAATATCCTTTTAAGCTGTGTGTATGCTCCTCCTTTATTTTTATTTTCTAATTTTTTGGTTTTTTGGAAGCAGGGTCTTGGTATGTAATTCAGGCTGTCCCTGAACTCACTACATAGCCCAGGCTGGCCTTGAACTCTGTAGCGATCCTCCTGCCTCAGCCTCCCAAGTGCTGGGATTTCAGTCTTGCACCACCACGCCAGCCTTTTCCTTCAAACTAATTTAATCCTTTAGTTATTTTTATAACAGTTTTAGAGCACATTTATAAAGCAAAGTTAAGTCCTAGCCAAGTTCTCAAATGATCCAATATTTTACATATAATAAACGCTGCTCATTACTTGAGAAAGCTTGATATTCCTATGATGTACCTACCCTGAGCATGCTGCCGTGAGGATAAAATAGTGTACTCAAAGGATGCTCTGTGGGCCAGTATTGGGCCTCAAACTGTTTGCAACCATCACCAATGAGACGAGAACAAAAAGGAAGAAAAGGATCTAGAATTTTCATAGCAATTTGAGTAGCTTTATGTTCCCTGAATTTAACACTAAAATAATTGGGATTTATATTTTGTCCTTTTCCTTCATTTTCTTAGTAATTTTTATTTTACAAAAGCATTAGTACATGACAGATTAGAAATAATAAAACTATTCCTTCAGTAGACAGGTACTTATCACTGGAAAATGGATTTTTACGAACACAAGAATGTCTCATAACAAAAATTAATTTTAAAGGTTTTTCTCAATATGTAATTTATTTAAAAGAAATTTAAACGGGTATTTTCTTCCATACTTTCTCTTTTCAAAATTTCCTCATTCAGTACAGCAAAATTTCTTTGACTTCTCTACAGTTTGAAAATTACAGGAAATTAAAACAATATATTTTCACCATAAGCATTACCTTCAGCTTTAAAAATATGTTTAAAACAATTAAAGAGACAACTTCATCACTCTATTGTGAGTTTTAAACTCATCTCGTTTTTAAGGTAATTTTCTGTATAAAATCACATCCCAATTTTTAATAAACTGTTTTTAAATTTAACACTTTTGAAATCTGACCTCTAAGTAATAGTTTTAAAATTTTTATCCTTCTTGTCTGCTTTCTAACATTTCTGAAACAATCATCATAATTGTACTTGTAATAAAAAAATAGAAATGACAGAACTTTGCAAAAAAGAATACAAGTAGTTTAAAATTCAAATGGTAGTACTGAGAGATTTTTTTTTTCCTCTTGATATCTTTACTGTATTGTTATGTGAATGTTCCTTGCTATCTCATTACTCTAGTTATTTGTGTATTAATGTAAGCTTGAATTCAGGCTTAAAAGTATGAATTAACTAGATACAATCCTAAGAATTTAAATAAAATTTAATATATATTTTTCTGATGTGAAAATTTTCAAATTGTGTAATTTTCAAATTTTGAAATTCAGTTTCCAATTTTGAAAGAGTCTATTACAGTGGTTTATTCAACAAATACTAGGTACTGATACTGCAAAATGTATAGAACCCTGAGCCACAAATTTTGTGGGATTATATGGTAATTTAAGCATGAATCCCACCCTCAAAAGACTGATTACGTTATAACCTTAAAATAATAAAGATAACACAAAGGTACAAAGGATGTAGAGATAATGTCAGGGACAAAGAAAGAACCATTGAATAATTAAGAGCAGACCTCTGAGAACATAGTTTCAGTGAGGCAGGAAGGGAGCTGGAAGGAGAGGCACAACCCTGTGAATTAATTGCTATGTGCAAAAGAACGGTGAGGAGGAGCTAGGGATGGACTTCAGAGGCACAGCGCCGGCCTAGCTCAGGGAAAGCCTGGAGTTCAATCCGCAGGACTGAGCAAAGGAAGAAGGAAAAGAATAGTGCAGGAGGAGGGAGAAGGGGTAACAGCTGCGGACAGGGCCAAGCGCAAGTGGTGGGATTACAAGACACCACATTTTGGATCCGCCAGGGAAACGGATCCAGGTGAGATATAACTTAAGAGTGAAAAAAGAAACATACAGAGCACAGAGAAACCTTGAGAGAGGGATGCGGCAAGTGAAATCCAAACCAAGGTCACGCATGCAAAACCTAACCGGTGACAACACAGCTCAGGCCTTGTTTTTTTAAAGAGTGAGGACTCATTTCTTTGCAGTCATGGCTATGGACAATTAATCAGTGTAACAGGAGGCTCGTGTGCAGACAGTCACAGATTTCATTTCCAAAAATCAGTTACGTCACTCACCTGCCTATGAGCATCTCGGAGGTAGGTGTCATATCCAGTGCCCTCAACATGGTAGGATGATTTTGCTTCATCCGGTACCAGACAAAGAAAACTTAAATGAAAAAGGTCATCATAGTCAATAACAGAAATAACTTGCACAATATCTTTATATCTATTGTATGTGGTGATATTTTAAGTTTAGCCAAGCCTTAATACAAATGGAAATCTGAACAATAAAATTATAGTTTAAGTGCTTATCTTCAGTTAGTCTTATAATTTACTTTTCTACTATTAAATACTCTTCCACTAGTTTAAAGGTTTAAAGGGCTAGGGATATAGCTCAGTGGCACAGCACCTGCCTGGCAAGCTCAAGGTCCTGAGTTCAATTCCCAGTACCAAAAAAAAACCAAAACAAAACAACAACAACAACAACAAAAAAAGGTTTAAGTCTTGATCCACTTAAACTACAAATAAGTCTAAGAAAGATTTTTTTTTTTAAGGTTGCTGCACAATGCCAGATTAGTATACGTGCTAATCTCAGGAAGCTGGCTTTTAAGTAAATGAACTTGAGACATTTTTATGTACCACAATTTGCATTTCAAGCCACATGCAATTTATTTTTTTAAAGCCACCTGATAGGGCCGGGGATATAGCTCAGTGGCACAAGCACCTGCCTGGCAAGCACAAGGTCCTGAGTTCAACTACAGGTACCAAAAAAAAACAAACAAAAAAATTAAAGCCACCTGATAGACGAGGCATATCCGTGACACCACTGAAAGGGAAGGAAAAAAGAAAATTGCCACAGAAAAGGTACCTTAAAAAAAAACATAAAAACAGGAACTAAAAATAAAAGAAATAGCCCTGTGCTTAGCTTAATAGGCATATGCTTAATAAGTATAACTTGTCAAACCGGCAATTCTCAACATTGTTGTAATTGGGAATTACTTAAAATTAAGCCATGTACATTAAAAAAAAACTAAGCTACTTGAGGGTTTACTTATTCACTGAGCTTTTCTCAAGGTACCAAGGCTCCCTGGCTATAACTTGCTACATAATCAGGATTAAAACACTGACATAAGCTTTGAAGATTTATAATATGTTCACAATATGTTCCCGTAATAAACAAGGAGCACAGCTGCTCTGTATTATAAAAAGAAGTAAAAGCGCTATAAGTCAAATTTATACAGCAACTCACCTATTTACAATTTTATGGACTTCAGTCTTCCCATCATTCTTGGGGTGGTCGGGCGTAGGTGGAGGCGAAGAGCTAAGCCACTCTTTCTTTGACAAAGTATTATCTGGTGAAATGTCAGTAAATAATGGATCTTCTTCCAGATCTCTAAGTTTAATTTAATGATGTATAAAAAAATTATTAAGGCATTTTCTAAACCACAAGATTCTCTACGCTGAGAAAATATTACATGATTTTTCTAAAATACATTTATTTTACAGACAAATTACCGTTTTATGCTAACAATATCAAGGATATGCTAATTTTGTTAGTAGGCTGAACGAACAGAAAATTCCTTATAATTTAAAAGGGTGGTGAAAGTATTAGGGCATCTAAACTTTACTCCTAAAATTTCTTAAGCAGTTAGAGGTATTTTTTTAAAGCAAGAACCAGGAGCAGCGAGGAAGCTGGGCCCCTGCGGAAGGCTGACCCCACAGAGGTGGGCGGTAACTTACACTGCGCCTGCTACTAATCCATTCTCCACCACATCTTTGTCTTCTGGGCACAGAGGCTTGTATTCTGTATAATTTCTTTCTTCAAGATTTCTTAGGACCAAGTTGTAAAGAATGTGCTCGTTGGGTTTTTGCAGAAGATGTTCAAACATCCTCAGTGTCATTATGCTTATCTGAAAGCAAAATCGATAGAAGCTAACTGAAAAATACCTTCAAATGCGCCGTTCTTTCTGCCATCTTGTCAGTCACGCCTTTCATGTGCAAAGCCACACAGAAGTCAGTAAGTTGAAGAATCTAAGTCCAGTACTAAATCATTACGCAGCTTACCTCATCAGAGATGTGATCACAATGTTCAATTAACCTGTGCCTTAAAGGATGTCTGCTAATTTCCGCGAGAGTCTCTGGTTCTCTCTGCTCGCCGAGGATGAAAACCACCATTTCTTGAAGCAAAACATCAGAGGTCACTTGTCGAACAATGCGATGGAGCAGAGCAGTTGACGTCAGAATACCCATCTCAGAACTGAGTGCAACGAACAGGTAATTAGCGGGCACAGTGACAGAAACAGCGGTATTTATGCTGTTTTGCTTTGTTGTTAAGGAAAGAGGCTACTCACGTTTGCATCAACTGAGGCTCCATAACTCCAATGAAAAATCTTTCATGAACAGCTCTGGCAAGAGCAACAGCAGCAGTCTGAAATACAGAGTCAGCATCATTTTGTTAATGGAAAGGAGACAAATGTGTAACATCAATAAATCAGTTTGCGCTCCTCATATGGAAATGTGGAAGAAAAACCTTGCCTACTGACCATAAACCTAGATTAGATGTTGGCTGGTGGGTGACTTTTTTAATTCCCCCAAATAAAAGAAACAGTAACGGGGCTGGGGATTTAGCTCAGCGGCAAAGCGCCTGCCTGGCAAGCGCAAGGTCGTGAGTTCGGTTCCCGGTACCGGAGAAAAACAAAAAAAAAACAAAAAAAAAACAAAAAAAAAAAGAAACAGTAACAAAAAAATAATTTCGGAAACATACTCCCAAAGACAGAAAAAGTCATTGTTGTAAAATCAATGTCTGTCAAGCACTGTGCCATAATACAATATAAAGAAATATAAAAGGACAGAACTTGAATTTTCATTTGTTTCAGAATTGTAATGTACACACCTGATTTTTGGTTTATTTATTCTACTAAAGATAATATCCTAAGACAATTAAAACATATTTGGAGATATAAAATATATAAAATAAATCTCACTCAGTACACACTTGAATTTTAAATTATCAGTAAGTAATAAAAATATTCAAACCTTTTGTGCTTCCTTAATGAGTTGATCACAATAATCAAACCAGGAAAGAAATGAAATTAAGGCTCGTTTTCCTGGGAATGCTGAAGCATCTTCTTTATGACTGTATGAATCCAAGCTGCAGGACACGAAAGAAAGGCTAAGTCCCCAGCTATTCAAAAGCATGAATCCCAGTCAGTACATACAGAAGAGTGAAGGTGCACAAATGAACGTAGTACACACGGTGTGACAGATTCACAGAGGCAATGCTGGGTGACAATCAAAAAAGGATTTATAAAAGAAGCCTAAGATTAGAGAAAACCTTTTAAATAAAAGTTGTAAATTGTTTTCACTTCTTAAGTGGGAAGAGCAAGACTAAGGCAGAACGGAGCGGCAGGAGAGAAACCATTCAGACAGCTCCTCATAATTCTGCCATAAATTTGACCACGTAACTGCAGTGAAAAGGTCGAGATTCTCAGCTGCTGGGACACAAGAAAGAAAAAGGGAATGGAGGCTCCGAAGAAAGACGAAGTGACTGGCCAGGTGCTCTTCCTGCCTTAAAATGCAATACAGCTGTAATGTAAACAGGTGGGTCTTCCTGATAGATGCTGGCACAATACAGTGCGGAAAAGCAAGTAAAAAAGCAAAGGGCTAGCCAGGCGTGGCTGGCGCCTGTAGTCTCAGCACTTAGAGGGCTGAGGCAGGAGAACTGCTGCACGTTCCAGGCCAGCTTGGGCTACAAAGTGAGTTCAAGGCCCGCCTGAACAGCACAGTGAGACCCTGTCTCAAAAACAAAACAAACAAACAAAAACCCCAAAAAACAAAAACAAAGGGCTAAATATTTAGAAAAGAACAGTAAAAGGTAATTACATCAAAACAATAGGTGTTTATAGGTGGTAGCATTACGATTTTTTATTTACGCTGCTTTATATTTTAATAACTTGTAAATGTTCTGTAATAGTTATAATTTTCCTATGAGAATCAAGCAAGGGAGCCTACAAAAGTAGGGAGAGGGGGTAAAAAATGAAATGGCGATTCCGTACACACATACAAGCTACAGGGCACAAGAGACTGTGCTAGGCACTGCGGAAGTTATTTATAACAAAGGAGATCCTTCTTTTAGAATTTGCTTTTAATGAAAAATAACGAGGTAAAGTTATCGATCCTAACGTAAGCCCTTAAAAATCCATCGGTACAATGGACAAAATATAAGTTCCTCAACTATAATATATAACAGCTGGACTGTTCCCACACGTTTCCTACCACTGCCTGATAAATTTAGTACAAGCCTTAAGAATTCTTTCCCACTGAACAACCTCTACCAGTGTTACCTTTTTCAAAATTAAAGATGTCTAGTGTTTAAAACATAGTTATGAGAAGTCACCTTTAGGGGGAAATACAAAGAATGCCGCTTACCCCCAGTTAATTGCTTCTACGGTTTCAATGTCTAAGGGATCCACTGACTGAGGTAGGGCCTTGTACAGGGAGGCAAGCCTGTCGGTCAGCAGTTCGCACAAGGAAGTGCCCTGAGTAAGGCACTTTACCGCTGCGGGCTCTGGCAAACTCACTAACAACATCAGGCCCTCACACGCTTTCACCGCGATCCGGCCATCCTAAGGGGAAGAAACACACCCCTTCAATTCTTAAGTCAGACACAAACAGAAACAATGACATTGTCGCGGACAGTTCCATATACAAGGATTTGTTTCCACTTTAAAAGCATATTTTTGTAATTATGGTAGGAGGGAAAAAGTAAAAACGATGACTCACAGGGCTTCGGGTAAGATTTAATAAAGAATTCACTAAATTATAATCCTGGTTCGGACGGACTACGGAGGCCTCCGGCAGTGAAGTGGCGCTCAGGTCATCCAGGCTCGTGGACAGGTCATCTGTCTGGTGCGGGGGCCCATCCTCTGACTCTGTGTGCTCCGCTCCGGCGGCACCAGACAGCTTTTCTGGTTGCTGAGACTGTCCTGTATCATTTGACAAGGAATCTTGACCTTTTAACGTATCTTCTGAAATTACATTCGGTGCTCCTTTAGAAGCCCAGGACTTCAACTTGTTCTGAAGAGGAGTACATGTGTTGGAAGGTTCATGCTAAGAACTCTATACACCAGAAATCATATTCAATAGGTTTTTCTATAATTAAGATTTCACATGCCTAACTGAAATAGCAGTAAGTGTTACGTCAAACGGAAACATCCAGACATTTAACAAACCATGTTTTAGGCCTAGCTCTAAAATCGCAAAGAAGTTAATGACCCTCTGCACAATAACTACAGAATGTTTTACACCTATCATAAGTAATCAATGGTACAGAGATTACTACGGTATTTGACTATTTCTAATAGCAGTGTGAGTAGGGGAAATTTTTCAACTTCAGGTTTTCTTCTCATCTCTAGGCTACTGTAAATGTATCATCTCAATGTTACCATTTCTAAGATCATGGGGGGAGGCAAATTTACAAACAAAAACACTTTAAAGGCAAAAGTTCCCAAGCTTAGACTTAAGGTTTCTACAAAGCTGCCAACTTTTTTTAAATATGTAAGAACTTTTTCTAAGTTTTTCTCTCTATGTTTCTGCTCTATAAAAACACAAAAGGCTACTCTGAGGATATTTTTGTGTCTACAGATAAGCAGATTTGCTTGAAATGCTGGTCTGGGCCCCCACCCTCCAGACATACCCAAACACAAACAGAATCTTAATTGGAGCAAATTGCTAGTTTGAAGGAAAAAGTGCCTCACTTTCCATTTTAGTGTAAGAGCAAAAATCATATCACACACACACACACACACACACACACACGTTAAAATTCATCGTGAAGCAGCTTCTCCAAAGGGCCTGTCACACTGTCACACTGCTCTGTTCATCACAGACGCACAATAAGGGCAGAATGAATTCAGGGTTCCACTTCTAAAGTTATAACGTAGTAATTATAAATCATTTCTGCTTTAAAAGTAGAAAAATAGGTTCTTCTTCAGCCACGGGACTCACAGCTTGAATATTAAAGTAAAGGCAGCAGCATTTATTAAAGAGGCTTTCTTGCAGTGAACATGTTTGGCTCCTTTAAAGATAAGGTGGCTGAGTGTATTTGGAGTTGCATTTGCATCTTCTATTCTGTTCCACTGATTCTCAGTTCTGTATTTTTTGCCAATACCATGTTGATTTTCATAGTAGTTTTGTAGTATAATTTCAGGTCAGGGATTGTGATGCCCCCTGACTTGCCTTTGTTGCACAATTTGTAGTATCTAAATGTTGAAAACAACCCAAATGCCCATCAACCAAAGAATGGATAAAAAGGTGGTCTTTTTAAGATAATGGAGTACTACTCACCCATAAAGAAGGATAAACTTGAGACTTTTATAGGTAAATGGATGCAACTCAAGACCATACTCATAAGTGAAATAAATCAGACCCACATGTGTAAACCTCGTATTGTCTCCCTAGTGTGAGAAACTGAATGAGTAAATAAGATCCAAAATGTACAACAGATATTGAGAATAAAGAAGCTGTCAAAAAGAAAAGAAAAACTGTGACGGGAGAATGCAGAAAGAAAGGAAGGGAAAGGGAAATATATATATACATATATATGAGATAGTTAAGATCGGTATACAGCTAGTATCTTAGTTCCTTGAAAAGAAAGGTTCGTGCTAACATTATTTGAACAGTATTTTTAGGCCTATATCTTGTACTCTGAACAACTATTATGAACGTAACAGTACAAATGTATCCACTTTTGTCACTCCCTTCTAGCTTGTTTTGAAACTGTTTTGTTATTTGTATTGTTTTCTCTTTAAAAAAAAGAAAATCACTCTGAAAATCAATGAATACTTTCAACAATTGTCCTGTCAACTTCCTACAAAAGTCAACTGCACAGCATCAGCTTTGCGAAAGTGAAACACTTTATTCCACCTAAAATACCAAGAATACTGTTGGACGAGGGGTCTCAAGAACAAAAGATCCACTCCTTAAGCCAGTGTTTCTCTAACTCACACCAGTGTTTCTTCTTCAAGACTAACATCTCCATCGTCTGTGGTGCGTTATTTAGAACAAGAGACCATGAACAGATTCCTGGGTCGCACCAAGATCTTCTGAATGAGAACATCTGGAGGTAGAGCCCAACAGTCTGCATTTTGCAAAGCTCCGTCAGTGAGGAGGAGCTGCTGCCCGAATTCTTACACTCTTGTTCCGCTAACACTGTTCCTTTTCTACCTCGAGGGGGCTGACAGGTCCCCATGTATTTGTGCATGTAATTCTTGAATGTCTTAAACATCCCTCCCAAATCATGGATTTGCAACACTACCAAATCCCTGCTTATTATCTCCATCGGGGTATCACGAAGATTGAAAACATCCACAACCGAAACGATCATCTTCCCCTCAAAATAAGCATCCTCCAAGCCCACTCCCTTCTTTCCAATCACTAAGAGCTCCTTACCGGCTGAGGATTGCAAGTGTTGGCATAGTCCTTCCCCTGCTCCCTGCACCCGAGCAGCTGCACTGTACGGAGACCACCTCTACACCTGAAGCAGTGGAACCCCCTTCACCTCAACCCACTGCTTTCAACTTAGTTACAGTCCTTGTTCCTTCTTGTCAAATCCATCAGCTTCAAGTTGGTCGCCCCACTTTTCCTTTCTTCCCAAAGGAAGTCACTGTGCAAAATGCTGCCGCCAAATTTCCTCTCTTAAGGCACAAACAATGTCGCGTAACAACATCCCTGCTCAAAAATCATCTGTGGCTCCCCAGTGTCCACAGGTCAGCACAAATGCCCATCTGTGGTTCCAAGCTTTTGACAACTTCTAGCCTGTCTCTTTGGGGTCACTGCCATGTACACTTCCAAATTAGACTGTTTCTTATACATATTCCATCCATCATATTTACATATTCTTATCTAACATCTGTCAAACACACTTCAAAGAAGACCTCCTCCATGAAGTCTTTCCCGATAACCTCAAGCACATGTTACCTGTTCATCCTATGGGCACTCACGGCAGTTACTGCCACCTTCTTATGCTTCTCACCGTACCCTCCCTGAGATCACTGTATCTGAACTTTACCATCTTCATCAAACTTCTCTGAGTAAAGACTATTCCTAACTGACCTACCATATACAATATACTTAACCAAGAGTTGATGCGTCTGGTAACTGATATAACTGAACATGCAGGAGATTTCATATGAGAATGGCAAAGTACTTTGTTACTATCTATATCTAAACCAATAAAACTGCATTTCCCTGAAGATGTATGCATTCAATAAGAGTTAACTGAGCAGTTACTGTGCTTTGTGCTAGATACTAGAGGAGCTGTGGAGACTCAAAGATTAATGAGACAGAGTCCTTGTCCTCAAGGAGTTTATTGAACAGAAGGAGACATGAAATGCACACAAATAACTGCAATGCTAGGGGGGCCATAATAACAGATGTTAAAAGCGTATGAACATTTCTATCCACTCAGAAAAGTAGAATTAGCTGCCACCTCTGGCTTTGGAGAAATGCACTATAAAAACGCAGCACAAAGCTGCAAGTGAGCACAAAGCTACTTGTAGTGAGGTTTAAAGGTGTATCTCACCGTTAACACCCACAGGCCTGCAAATTTCCTCTGCTTCTGACCCATGGCTATATACTTCTGAAGCGAGTTTTAGAGACCTTGAGAAATAAATTCACCAAACTTAAATTTGGTGAAAATCTGCATCTAAATTATGCCAAGTTATCTAAGAAAACTTTCAAAATCTTATTTAACCGATCTCTTTCTCCTTCTCTCTCTCCCTCACTTTTTTTTTTTTTTTTTTACTGTGGTACTGGCTGGGATTGAAGGTAGGGCCTCCATACTGAGTTACATCCCTAGCCCCTCTTCCACTTTTTATTTTGAGGCTGGGTCTTGCTAAGTCACTAAGTTACCCAAACTGAGCTCAAACTTGCAGTCTTCCTGCCTCATCTTTCACAGTACCGAGATTATAGGCCTATGCCACCATGCCTGGCAAACTGATCTGTCTTTTATAAATATATTAAAAACATAAAGAAGTATAATGCTACCCTTATTAACAAATCAGTAGAAATCTAAAATACTAGAGAAGCTAGGAAGACCCAAACATGAATGAGACAAAGTGCTTGAGCTCAAGGAGCTTACTGACCAACTGGAGAAAATAAAATGTACACAAGCAATTCCAATGCTAGGGAGGCTACAGTAACAGACATTAAAAGCATAGGAACACTACTATCCACTCAGAAAAATGGAGCCTGAGTTGCCACCTCAGGCTTCAGAGAACAATTCGGAAGCAAAGTTGTAAAATAAGATACAAAACACGATGCACATCATGAAGAAGAGGCATTTGCAGTCTTTCACTCTAACTACAAATTGGAATTCACAGAGTTTTACAGCTGGGCTGCTAGTCTATTTCCCCAACAACACATTATAATAGGATCCTAAATTATTTATTGAAAACACATGAAGTAGAAGACAAATCGATCTATTACAATGGCTAACATTAAAAAACACAATAGAAACCTGATTAACACGGAGTGCTAGGTAAGAAAATAGAATAGGGACTCACATCCACTGCTGAGGAGGTGGGAGATGACAAAGCCACTATGGGGGAACCACTCTGGCAGTTTCTTATGAAAATAAACATATAGCTACAACATAACTTGATAATCCTACCACTAAGAATTTTTCCAAGTGAAATGAAAACTTAAATTCAAACAAAAGTTTGTGTGTGAGTGTTTATGGTAGCTTTTTTCCTAACTGTCAAAAACTGGAAACAACCCCACAGTCCTCCACCAGAGGAATAAACAACTGCAGGGCTATCTGTACAATGGGATACTCACCAACACAGGGAAACAAAGTCATAAATGAGAGAACATGGGACAGAAAGTAGATCAGTGACTGCTAGAGGGAAGGCGACAGGAAGGGATGACAACAAGGGGCCAATGAGGAAAGTACTGTGTATTCTGACCATGGTGCCAGTTACATAGTTATATGTGTTTGTCAAAATTGGAACTGCAGACCAAAAAGACTGAATTATACTGTATATAACTTACACCATAATTTTTTTTAAAAAAAGGATAGTTTTTAACCTAAAAAGACAAAGATAGCGTACTACCTTTTCTCCTATACTCTTAAATGCTTTCACTGCTAGAAAAAGAAAAAAGTGAACAAAAGCAAGAAGTACACGAAACTTATTTTCTACTTTAAAAGTGGTAGTAAAATCCAAACTATCAGATGATTTAGAAAACCGTGATTTGGTGACAACCCCAACGGCCATGCGAGGTTGGAGAGTTAACCAGTGATTTACTACAGCTGGTCCACATCCGCATCTACCGTCCTTAACCACACCAGATTATCCACGCTACATACTAGTTCAAGCCTCCCCCAAAATATGCCAGTTTATAAACTTTAGTGAGTTCTCGATAGAGCCGCACTCTTTCTAACCCTTGGCCTTGTATCTGTCCATCTCAGTACTGCCCCATGTATCTGGCTCAACTGCATTCTTTGAAAATCTTTTTGACCCAAGAGATAGCAATTTAGAGTAAACTGATCTTAAGTGAAAAATAAATGTCGGATGTAAAACAAGCCATCGAACAACTTGCAAAACATAATTCCTCTTAGGGTTGTGTACACAGAATACAATTTCTTTTTTCCTTTTTTTTTCCAGTACCAGGAATCGAACTCACGACCTTGAGCTTGCCAGGCAGGCGCTATGCCACTGAGCTAAAGCCCCAGCCCCTAGAATACAATTTCTAAAACAATCTGACTAAACAAACTTTGAAGCTGAAGATTCAGAGCCTACCTCCAGGAAAAAATTAACCAGGTAGGGGTCCTGCTTCAGCTTGGCACACACAATGCAGAGAAACTGAATCTCTTCATTTTCCGTTGGTGTTGCGAGTACTTCACCACAGAGTCGAATTAATTTCTGCCAAAATATTTTTCAAAGCTTATAAAAAATGTAAACAGCCATCTATTTACTTAATGCTATTTAAAATTTTCAAGTAACAGAAAGGTCTTATATTAATTAGATAGAACACAAACAATCTTTTCCATCATCTCTAAATAAATTTAGTAGTAAAATTTTCAAGTTCATTATCCAAAACAGTTAATGAGGCATGCAAAATAAACTCTACTCATTAAGTTGGGGAGGTAAAGTAAAGAGAAAGTTAAGGTATAAAACTTTAAACAGAACTATAAAGGTACGAAGGGCGGGTAATACAATTATGCATAAGGAAAACACTGGGAAATGCTAACCTGCATGTTGTTTTTAGAATAATTTCTTTTATTAATCTTAGATTCATAAAAAAAATAAAAAAATATTTTTACTCTAAAAGAAATCAAATGAAATAATTTTAGGTAAGAAGAATAAAATACCTGCACAGGCCGGTGCACATTAATATGGGGAAGTAGCGGCTGCCGGATTCTTCCCAGAAGTTTAGTGTAGAACACCAGAACCTGCTGCTTCATTCCGGGAGGACACTGGGCATCACAAAAAGGAAAGCAAACAGGAAAAGAATAACAAAATACAAACACGCTTACTCAAAGCTTAAACACTGTTTATAAATGTATTCTTCAGGGCTGGGGATGTAGCTCAGTGGTAGAGTTCTTGCCTTGCATGCACAAGGTCCTGGGTTCGATCCCTAGCACCACAAAAACAAACAAACAAATAAATGTATTCTTTAATACAATGTAAAACTTGACTGCTTAATTATTTTGTTAGAATAGAAAATATTTTGTTTTGTTTTGTTTGTTTGTTTTGAGACAGGGTCTCGCTCTGAACTTCAGACCAGACTTGAACTCACAGCAATCCTCTTGCCTCAGCCTCCCAAGTGGTAGGATTACAGGTATGCACCATCAGGCCCAGCAGAATAAAACTTTTAATCAACATTAATGACCGGCATTCTAAAAATGAAATTATACACTTGAACCATAACAGTGTATGAGCCACAGCCGCCTGTAATTACAAACAGCATGGTGACAGCATGTTGTTGAAATAAGAGATTGGTTTAGGCAATGTCAACTGGGCAAACGCTAGGCGAACATGAAACTCTTACTCCCTGCCAACGCAAAGGCAAAATCTTATTTACCCTAATGATGGGGAATCAGTAATGTTCCACACCTACACAGAAGAGTAAAAGTCAGTCTCCCTCTCCCTCTCTGTCTTGCTGTGGATTGAGTATGAATCAGCAAGGTTATATAATCTATAACTGGGCTGGGGATATAGCTCAGAGGCACAGTGCCTGCCTAGCAATTACGAGGTCATGAGTTCGATTCCTGGTACAAAAAAAAAAGTCCGTAACTAAGCAGCTAATACTGCCTCACATATAAAATAGTCACAAAATGAGTTATCTCCAAAGCATCATAATGACATGCTAACTAGAGATAGCATAATCTAAGGATTACGAAAAATAATTTTTATAGCCCAGTATTTTTTAAATAATACACCTTGTATTATTCAGATAAAACACAAATAATATTTACAATCACCTACGTCAAAGTACATTTACTAGTAGTACAATTACCAATTTAGGGCTCAAAATATCATCTAACATTTATTCAGTTTTATGTTACACAGTCTCTCCAAAGAGCAGGAGAAACAAGGCAGGAGGTGCATGAACTGCAAGTTATTAGGAAACAGATCTGTTGCTTAGAAAACATAAGTGGAACATACTGGACTTAAAAAATGAACTGGAGCATTACAGACTTAGTTAAAAGGAAATTGTCTTTAATACTATTCATAGATCTATTTAGTATTAAATGCACTCATTAATCTTAGTTTTATTTTTCAAATGTATTACGGAAAATTACAGAACAGAAACATAGATTTTTAGAATTAGGGGACACCTATCAGCAATCACTTCCATATTTTTAAAGAACAGAAAGATGAACCAGGGGTCACAGTGTTAGTAACAGAGGCGGCACTGGCAGCCAGGTCTTCTGACCTAGAAGAGAAATTCTTCCTTTTCCTCCTACAACCAAATGTACGAGGTGAACAAAAAAAAACGTGAATATTTAATTTTTTAAAAAATTATTACAATAGAAGACACTGCCATTAATCCCCGTCAAAATATCCCCCCTTGCTTTGAACATACTTATCCCATTGTTCTTGCCACTTTCTGAAACAATTCTGGAAGTCTTCCTTCATGAGGGTCCTTTCATGTCCCAAATTGATTAGAAGTGTTTATGGCAATTTCTGTTAAATTAAAAACATTACGATATGTCTCCATCCATGTTATTCAGCAGATCCGGCACTGTGACTTCTAGCTCTTCCTCAAAGTTAAAATGACCACGAAAGGTAAATGTTTTGAGTCAGTTCAGGCCATCAAGGCAGCCATGACAGCACAACTAAAGACACACAAAAGAGACTTCCAGAACTGCTTCAGAAAACAGCAAGAACAGTGAGTTAAGTGTGTTCGAAGTGAGGGGCGGTATGCTGAGGGGAATAGATGGCAATATGTCTTTTATTATAATAATGTTTTCAATGTTTTACTGTATTTTCCAATCATACCTCGTGGAGTGAAAACTTCTCTCTCAAGTACAGTCATGCACCACATAAGATTTTAGTCAAAGACATATATGAGAACAGTCCTGTAAGTTACAGTGGAGCTGAGAAATTCCTATCACCTGTTTTTTTCTGTACCTTTTCTATATTTAGGCATTTAGAGAAACAGATACCATGGTGTCAGAACTGCCCACTATTCAGTACACGTGTGAGCCTCGGGCAGAAGGCTGTACCATCCAGGTCTGTGTAAGCACACACCATGCTCACACAATGAAATCACCTAAGGACACATTTTTCTGAACATTCTCCTGTCATTAAGGGATACACGAACATAACTTCAAAGCTTTGTGGCACAAAGTATTATTTATACATGAGCTTGTTCAAAGAGTTTTCAAAATTCATCAGGCCTAGAAATTTGAATTGATTCTACTCATCAATTCACTTAATATCAGGGTAATCAGTGACATTCTTCTTCAGAATACTGAAAAATAATTTCTGTAAACCAAGTGTCACTAGGTCTTCATTTCCTTTGATTCTGAGCATACATAGATGCACTTATCTTCATAAACATTTACACTGAAACTCTAAGCAGTATCGCTTTTTGTCTAGGATATTTGGGAAATTTGCTATCCTGTGGATGTGAGGATTGTACAAACTGCTCGACCTGCTCCCCTAAACTTAACTTGAATCATGCCATGTGCAATATGTACCTCTATAAAAACAAGAAGTACTTGGGAGCGTCTTTACATCAAAGGCATTACTGCATCTATTACACACCCAAGGACATAGTGTGGATTAGGGACTTACATCAGCTTTCCCCAAAGTATATAATGTTTCCAAGATCTTGTGATGAAGTAAATATTCCATACATGGCCCCGTCTCTCCAGATTCCCGTTCATTTTCTTCTTGAACCAGTATATCTAACATCTGTTCCAGATGGGATGGAATGTTCGTGTCAGTCACTGGGGCTTTATCATCTAAATGATAGAAAAATATTTATCAAACAAACACTCAAATATTTTTTTTTTTTTTTGTTTGGTTTTTGGTTTTTCTCCGGTACCGAGAACCGAACTCACGACCTTGCGCTTGCCAGGCAGACGCTTTTGCCGCTGAGCTAAATCCCCAGCCCCTACTCAAATATTTTTAAACTGCCAATTTGTGCATAAAATACCATCTACATTTTCCTAGTCTCATTCCAACTGACAGAATCTGAACAACAGTTTTGTGAGATGTTACACACATGGTATGACTACCTTTGCAAGAATTAAGAAGATGCTTCGCCGTGCTCTTATTCAAAACCTGACTCAATATTCTGAAATATATTCCAGCTAATATTCATCCATAATAATTTAGAACGGTCACTTATGTGGGAAATGGGAACATGATTAGAAAAATGCATGTAAATATCAAGTTTTTCTGTATATGTATAATTTTTTTTTTTTTTTTTACTTAGCCAGTTCAGAAGATCTGAGTCTTCAGTGTCCTAGTGTAGATATAGGTTGCCCTTGAACATTAGGTTGAGTGGCCCAAGCTATACGGACAGGACTGGCTCTATTTCTGAATTCTACTGCACTACCTTCTGGCACTGGGAAGTCAGTCATTTAATGCTCTCAGTTGCTTCCCATCTATAAAAATAGAAGGAGCCCAAAGGAAACCCTGCTGTTAAAATTTCTGCCATCTCCTCTCATTAACACTAGCTATTCCCAAAGTCTGTTTTTTCAAAGTTGCTTCTCAGGAGAATGTTTATTAAATATTACAGATTTTTTTTTTTTTTTTTGGTTTTTCTCCGGTACCGGGAACCGAACTCACGACCTTGCGCTTGCCAGGCAGGTGCTTTTGCCGCTGAGCTAAATCCCCAGCCCCCAAATATTACAGATTTTTAAAAATAACTTCATTGGTATTTTTAAACATACCACACTTGGACTTGAAAATTATACCAACCTCCCCTTATTCTATAAGGGTTAAATTATTCTTAATAAACTGTAAGGTTTTATAAACTGTCTAATTACAAAATATATTAGGAGATCCCAAGTTCTGACTTATGGCCATATAAGCACTTACTCAGTACTTCTACGATGCGTGCAACACAATCCTAGTAGGTTGTTTAGTGATATGCTGCTTTGTACACGTGCACACGTAGGTACACACAGAGTAAATCATGATGCTCAGCTTGACAGAGAAAATAATGGAAATGAAAGGGTCGCCCTCATTTCCCAGCTGTGACGGGGTCTGAGACAGTTGAAAGTCTGGCACTGGAGTTAGACAATTTGGATTCAAATCTTGGCTCTGTCACTTTTAGTTGGATGACCTGGTACAAATTATTTAAGCCTTAATCATCAAAATCTATTACACAGAACTAATACACAATAGTGTATGTGTTGTATGATTTCAGTGAAATAATACATGGAAAATCCACTGCCTTAGCACACAGTGAAAATTCAAGAAATATTAACCTCTTGGGTCTCATTTCATATTATTCCCTTAAAATGAGTAGTCTCCCGCTTAAAGAAATAACTTGTAAGTCTGCTTATAATTCACTTTTTAAAAATGTTTCTCTCCTTGTAAATGTAAATACACACACATTTCATGAACATTCAACTTTGATTTGAATACAATTATTTATGAGGAAAAAATGACCAGATGTTTAAGACCAAGACAAACATTAACTGTAAATTTAATTTGACAGGATTAAAATCCTAACTCCCCGCAAGACAAGATCTACTTTCTGCTTTCCACTCTCAGTATTTCTAAACCAGCAATGTTTTATGCCTTTGTATATGCTATGCTTTCTACTTGAAATGCCTTCAACCTCCTGGTCTACTTCACAAACTCCTATTTATCCTTTACAGCCCAGATTAGACAATGCCTGCTATTTCCTCCTTCTTTATTCTTTCTGTACTTGACTCTGTCTGACTCAGCCTTTGTTACTTGTCCCTTCACTGTAACACATGCACTTTTTTCTGCTACTAGATGGGGAAAAAATCTTTTAAAACAAGAACCCATGCATTTCTTTAAAGCCCAGGAAGAAAAAAATCATAAGAGCCAAGAAGAGTAATCTGAAAAGGCAGTTCCTCTTAAAAGACATTTCTGTAGATCTCTGGGTGAACATCAAAGGAAGTTAAAACCTATATTTTATATTTCAAGGTTTACATATTTCTCTATCCAATTTTTATTTATTGCTTAAATATAAATGCTTACAACTACTCTCACATTTTCCCCTTTGTTAGCTGATGTGCGTCTGATCTGCATATCCACTAGTGTCTGCCTACACATTCCTCCAGGGAGCCCGCAGTGCCACATAGCAAGGTTCCACATGTCCCTATTTCTGAGGTTTCCAAACTTTGGCACACAGGTCAAACTCATTCCTGTCATCAGTTTTTAGGAAATAAAGTTGTATTGGAACAAAGGAATTTCTGTTTTGCATTTTGTTGACCATAGCTTTTGCACTACAATAGCACAGTTGGACAGCTGCAAAAGAGACTGTACAACACCTACAGTATTTACTCCCTGGCCCTTTAAAGTTTGCCATCCTTGACCTACTTTATTCATAGTCTCATTACTTACTCTCTACCCTTCTTATTTACTGAGAAAAACAAGCAACCAGAACATAACATGTAGACTCCCTGCACCACATCCACCCCTTTCTGCACTTCTGTTCTTGTTCTGCTTTCCCTCGTTTTAATGAATGAGAAGTCATCTCATCTTATTCTTGTGTCAACCATGTACTAGATTATTCTTACCAAGTTACAAACCACAGTATCTTACATCTTTCAAAAATATTTCAAAACCCTTCCTTGCTGCCACTTCTTCCTCTCAGTTCCCCTTTACACTGCCACTCAAAGAGAGCGGTCTATGCACAAGGTCGACATGTTCTCATAAACTTACCCCAGTTGGACCTTTTCTTTTCTCCCTGCCATTAAAATGGATTTTTATCCAGGAAACCAATGAACTTTCTGTGGCTAAATCCAGTGATCCATGCTTAGTTGTCAGAATCATTTGATACAATGAGTCTCTCACTCTTATGCTGGCATGCCATTCTCTCTTGCTGTCTTCTACCTCAGACAAAAGTAGCTCCTTTGCTACTGTTTACTTCTTCCAACCTCTGAACACAAAGTCTAAAGGTGTTCCTGTACACCTTCTTCCATCTTTTCTCCCTTCTACATAATCTCCTCCAGTTTCACGGTTATAAACCCTACTTTCATACTGTTGACTCTTAGTTTCCTATCTAGTTTGCATTCTGACATATCCAATTAGATAGATAACTGGCACCTCTACCTTACCATGTCCAAAATCGTCTTCTAAACCTGGTCCTCCTGGAGTACTCAGTAAGTGACACCTCTAATTTTTCTCTCATTAGGGCTAAAACTTTAGCTAGCTACCTTTCATATTCCCACATACCCAACATCCAAGCTATCAATCTTCCTTCAAAATACATCCAGAATACAATCATTTCTTACCAGCTCTCCCCAATGCAAGCCACCACTAACGCTTTTACCCCTGTCCCCCACTACCAGGGATGAAACCTAGGGGTGCTCTATCGCTGAGCCCTTTTTATTAAGACAGGGTCTTGCTAAGTTGCCCAGGCTGGCCTTAAACTTGTGACCCTCCTAGGTCAGCTTTCCTAGCAGCTGAGATTACAGGCATGTGCCACCATACCTGACCCATCATTACCTCTTGCTTGGACAATTATAATAATTTACTAACTGTTACAGCTTTAAACCACTATCCCTTCAATTTCTTCTTTTTCACAAAAGCCAAAGTGATTGATTTAATATATGGACTATACTAGAGCTCTACTCAAATGTGGGAGACCACCAAGTTGCGCTCTCCTGAGGCATGAAGCCCCTTGCCTCTATCTTTCCCTAACCTTTACTTCAACCCTACTCACTGAGATACGCAAAGCGGGCTATATTGAAACACATATTCCGTTAAATGGCTAAAAGAATGTCTGGCTGAGACATCAACGTGTCTCACTGCAGTACTTGGGTGAGAACTGCCCCGCGCCGCCCCCCCCCATGGCTGGAATGAGTAAGAGCCTGTGAGATTCCAGGGCTAAGACATGAGATGACATCTCAGCTGAGGCCACAGGACTGAAAAAGAATTAGACCTCCCTGGCACTAAAGGTGCCAGCCTTGCCTACTTCCTTTGCTTTGCTAATTGGAGGACTTCTGTGCCTCCTTACAGCCAAGGCCCGCAAAGTTTCTCTTCCCTGGCACTCTGCCACGACCCCCACCCTCCTCCCTGATTGAAACCAATAAAAGCCGCGAGCATTTTGACTCATGGCCTTTTGTTCCACAGAGAACACTGGCCATCCCAGAGCAACTCAACTGCAGAACTTTCTCTCTGCATCTTTCTTTTGCATCTGTGTGCCACACTGCCTGTGGGAGACCTGAACCCTGCGTGGAAATTTCAGTGACTCAAATCCCTTCAAAGGCTTCTTATTAGAAAGAAAAGCTAGAGCCCTTACGATGGGTTCCACGGCCCTGTGTGAATCCGGACCTCCACCACGACCCTCACAGTCTCTGTCTAACGTCATCGCCCACCAGGTTTCTCCTCTTTTATTCTGCTGTAGACAACGAGGCCTCCTTGTGGTTCTTAGTATCTTCCAAGCTACAAGCTCACGTGCTAGGCTAGTATTCGTGTGCACCATGCTCTCTTCAGGACACCTTTTCCTCTTTTCCAGCAAGCTTGGTGCCTCTTGCCTTTGGATTTCAGTTCAGAAGTCACTTTGACCAGTGTAGATTTCTCTCACCTAAAGTAGCCAAGGGCTATCCCCATCTCCCAAATATGGAATTTTCTCCCATCCCCTTAACACTTCTGAGTTGACACTTTTGTACTCATCTGTTAACTGTTTCCCTTCCCCTAAATCAATACATAAGCTCTATTGGGGGAGGGCTGTTCCCTGTTTGACTAACTACTCTATCCTTGGTGTCTACAAAGCCTGACACATAGTAGATGCTCTCTAAATATATTTTTAAGTACGTAAAATGAATCTAAAAATTAAATTAAAGGTCAAATTGTTTAAAGTTAAATATAGAATAACTTTTAAAACTTATTTTGAAATCAATTTTGGTATGTCACAAATTCACTGTTGAATTAGCTGACATTAATGGTTGGTACTTACCTGAAGTCTCTATGTAGTAATGGGTAATTGCCTTCCAGTGATAAACAAAATCTTCTTGTAAAGGAAGAGAAGGTGCAAGCTATAGGAACACACACAAAAAGAGTGCAGCCATTAATTACATGACATTAAAAGTTTTCCATAAAGTATAACTCTGTATCTGTCCATTATGTTGCAAAAGCAGGGTAAAAACATGGATTGAACTGTAACTTGATTCTGTATGTCAGATGTCAAAGGGAAACAGTAAGCTGAATCCAAGAAAGTAAAAATGATTTATTATAAAAGGAGAAATACACATTTATCAACATTCTTATAAAACTGCAGTATTGGGCTTTTTTCCTTTTCTGTAAAACTGTGTGGCTTCAAAAGTAATTATTTTTTATTATTATTATTATGATTTTTTTTTTTTTTGGTACCAGGAATCAAACTCAGGACCTTGTACTCACCAGGCAGGCACTGTGCCACTGAGCTGTATCTCCAGCCCCAAAAGTAATTATATTAAATAAAAAAACAGCAATATTCTATTATTGAAGTATCAGCAATATTCTGTTACTGAAGAAACAGTAAAATAAAATTACTGATAGCCAGAGATCTTTGTACCTAGGACTTTGAAAGACAAAACAGCAAAGACTAACAGCTACGCAACTAGTTACACATCACCACTATTAAAACACGTGGCGAAGTCAACATCATAATCAGATTAATGTGTTCCCTACTTTCAGGGACACATCGATGTAAATCTTTTCCTATGTAAGCCTGGATTAGGCGGTGAGTATTTTTAGCAAAATAACTACATGAACAAGACACTACCAATTTAAATCCCACAAAGTCAAACATGTTTTACAGTTAAGCTTTGCGATTCACGTCAGAAGTTTCAAGGCCAAATTATATCCCTTCAGCTATCTCACTGCAAACTGACAAGTTTTCTAAATGTGTGTCAAATGGATAGAAAAAGGCTTGCAAACATTTTTTCCTTAAAAAGAGAGAGAACGAGAGGGCCTCTATTCTGATGTTATCAATCCATTCTGGTCAGAAAGCTGAGTTGACCCCACTTAGTTCAGAGCAAACAGGTTTCTATTCTGAGAACTTAAGATATGGCAGAGTAATCTTCCATTTTCATATGTTTCTTCTGCAAATGGCCAAACGCAGGTCAGGTTACTCCTGTACTTCTGCTTACTCCAATCTGACTTCTTAGCAGTGACCTCCACAACAATTTCCAAACAAATGTGTAAACTATAAACATTGGTCACATACATCTTAAGAGTTTCAATCCAAAAGATGAAATGTACTTATAAAAAAAACTAAAAATTTTCAACCATCAACATGGTAATGCTAATTCTTCAACACTTGCCTATGAAATCACTGTGAACAGACTAGATTAAGAAAATAGAAATATCTGCCTCATTTTTAAGTAGAATGCTGTGAAATCTTTTTAAAAGACTTTAAGAAAGGAGTTAAAACTTTTAGGATTACTATACTTCAGGGAGAACATGGAGAGAGAAAGACTTACAGGAAACAAAAAAATCAGGAAGAGAATTAAGAATTAAAGTACCTATTAACTTGGGAAAACGATAATCACTCTGAAATTTTTAGTTAAAAATCTTTTAGCGAACAATTTCCCTACTTTTTTGGTCCTAGCTTTTATGGACTATCATTACATAGTTAAATATACAAATATGTGGGACAAACACAAATGGAATTTACTCTTTCAAGACCTGACCTATCTTTTTTAAGTGTAAATGTAGTGATTTTTAAATCTTCCCAGGGAAACCACCTAGGTCACTACAGAACTACAGGATCGTTTTTCCAGATTATTTCTCCAGTGGGACTTAACTGTACTTTCGAGGTGTGTCACTCACAAAGCTGCTGAGACCTCTGTCACAGATTACAGTCAGTCTTTTGAGGATGGTTAGTCCATCCTCTATACTCCACCTCACTCCAACAGTAGAGGGCTAAACAGCTCTAAATTGCTAATTTAGCTTAATCACAGTCCTACCCAAACTTGAACAAAGGTCCTTATTTAAAACCGCTTAATAAATTTACCTTTTTGACTAATTCTAATACATAAATTACCTATTTAGTCACTGCCCAAATATATTTAGGCTCTGGGTTTAAAATGTTTTTAAAAAGAAACAGATGTGTGATTCAGAACCAAGAGTACCAGTTTCACTTTTTACTATGCAGAGATTAAACTCCTTAAAATTCACGCAAACGCTATCTCTACCAAAGCCGGACAGGGACAGTTAACCGAGACCGGCTTCTCCTGGCAGCCTTACCCTCCTACCCGCAGCGCTGTGAACCAGGCAGGCCTCTCTCCTGAGCCTCACCCCACCCACGTCACGGTGCAACTGCATTGTAAACTGTCCCAGGATGGTGTCATCTTTTTCGGCATTCAATCTATTTCCAATTCAGAGATGGCAGAAAGTACTCCATAATATTAAGGAAGAGACACATGGCCCGGCATTCACCAGCAGGCAGTCATCACGTGATGGCCCGGCCACAAAACTTCCGCACGCTAACTACACGGGCTTAAATTCTCACCACGAACTCCCCCACTGCTCAGACTCCTATCAGGATCCCAAAGCAGCTCACTGACACGCCCCAGGAAACACAGCTTTTAACTAGAAACCAGGACTTTTTTTCAAAATGCCCAATATGCAACAGACCACATGGATAATTCAAGTTAAAAACTAGTTTTAACAGCCTCCTTTGCTTCAGCTGCCTCATACATCAGGCACATTCTACTGTTTTCTTTTTTTTTATTTTTTATTTTTAATTTAAATGCCTCTTTTCCAGCCTCTTTCTTCCTTTCCTCTTTTCTTTGCCCTTATACTAGGGATTAAACATAGGGCTTTCCCAATGGGCTACATCCCCAAACCTTTAAAAAAAATTTTTTTTTATTTTGAGGTAGTGCCGGGCTAAATTGTTGAACTGCCTAGGTTGGGCTGGAACTTGGAATCCTCCTGCCTCAGCCTCCCAGACTGGTGGGATTACAGGAGTGTGCCACCACACCAGGCCACTGTCAACCTTCTTAATTCCCTTCCCTATCTTCTCTGCCTCTCTATAACCCAGCTGGTCTCACTTCCTCCGGAGAACCTTCTCCAACTCCTAGAAAGTACTTGCTCCTTTCCTCTTACAGACTGCACTGGCCTGGCTGAACCAGTCAGTTTGCTGAACACTTACTAGATGCCAGGCACCAGACTAAGGATTTCCTGCTATGTTTACAACAACCCGATGAAATGGATCTAATTAATACAGGTAGGACAACTGGGGCTGAGAGACCACTCCCCCTCCATGCACCAGAATTTGGGGGACAGCCCAGGGCCAATCCTCTTCCCACTGTTCTAAGAACAGTAGAAAATAAAAATAACAAAGCCCAAGGTCTCTCTAGAACTCCAGGTCAGAGCACAAGCCTTCTAGATTTTACAGTCTAACCTTTAGTAACATTTTCTCCACTTGAACCTCCTAGAAGGAGGTGGATCACACATAGGGTCCCACGTATGTAATTTAATCAGAGTGAATTCTGGGACAGGCATGCATGTTTCAGTGCCCTCAAGATGACTCAGCACCCCGTCAATCATTCCTGTCAATCTTATCCTGGGGCCCAAAGAGAGGTGTCAACAAATGTAAATGCTTTTTCTCTGGCCACTGGATGGACACTTGCAATTCTCTGCTCGCAGGTACACAAGAACTTGGAATCTATCTCTCAGTTCCATCCCGCAGTATCATAATCACTTCCATAATAAGGAAATGGGAATGCACAAAGGTTTGGTCACTGCCAAGTGTAGAAGTGACAGAGGCGAGAAGCAGCTGTATTCTGTCTGACTCTAGAGGCCAGGTCACACTTGGGCATTCCTGATATTATGATTTAACTTATGTATTTATTTTGCTTCCCAAAGCAAAGCACTGTGAGCAAGGACATGGATATATGGTACCTTGTTTCCTTAGCTGTGCGCTACGCTTTCACTGTAGCTCATAAAATATTTGCTGAATGAGAAAAGGACTGAAGTTAGAGATCGCTTGCTGGAAAATAACACACCTAAGGGAACAATATAAGCTTGTGGCAGATGCCTGTAATCCCAGCACTCTGGGAGGCTGAGGCAGGAGGATTCCAAGTTATTTGAAGCTAGAATGTTGTATTTGAATTCTGAAGGATGACTTCCATTGAATGGTTTCTTTGTGTATATTACTCGGTAGATGGGAGTAATATAAACTTTCTTCTTGGACATTGCCTGTTTGCCTTTTCTCCTCTCCAGAGTAAATCGGCCTCAAGGGCTGGACTGTTGGAATATATGAAGAAACCACCCCTGGCACATCACCTGGCCCTCAACCAAGGCTAAACTGTGCTAAATGGGAAGTGGTATTTATCCTTTTGGAAAAGTTGTGCAAAAATAATTCAATCTAACCTCAGAATTTTTTTTTTCTGGTGGTAATGGGGATTAAACCCAGAATTTTGTGTTGAGCCACATGCCCACACCTTTTAAACTTTTGTTTTTCTTTTGAGACAGGGTCTTAAGTCACTAAATTGCCCAGGCTGGTCTAGAACTTGTAATACTCCTGCCTCAGCCCCCTTGAGTGCTGGGAAAGAGAGGCCTGACTTCAGACTTGAGACAAGCGGCAACTGGGTAATGGAACATACTCATCTGGTTAGACTTCCAGCAGCCAATCATTTCTAAACTTAGGGACAACCGTCCTTTCTGAAAAGGGAGGCCACAATTACATTACAGTTCTCACTTTTGATCACGGTATGGGCTTCTCCTATACTCTTCATGTAGTCTGACAGCTTAATAACACGTTTTCAAATACTCATCTTTGAAAATACCTTGGTTATATTTTCGTCGGCGTAAGAAGTTACCAGGAAGTAAAGAGAAATCCTGACATGATAAGGACAGCTCATCATCTCACCTCATTTAAACGAGTAGGAATCAGGTCAACCTTAAAAACACCCTGTGAAGCCTGATCTAAGTGGATACTGAAACCTACAGCGGGGTCACAGCAGCTGGTTGGGAAAGCCTGACTGCAGACCCAGACAGTGACAAGGGAACAAAGGTCGTCTCACCCTGAAGGTACCAGGTCACCTCCCACCTAACCCCGGGAGCCTGCCCTTGGAATATTGCATCAGAAATGAAAAGGAATACAGAGAAAAGCTAAGAACCGAGGAATACTAACATCAGTGGATGAGAAGAAAACACCAAGTAAAAAAGTACGGTACTCGCTAACTACAAACTATTCCTGGGTTATGAAAAACCACTCTTTCAATAACGCAGGATGGCTGGTTTATCACTGTATCTACATTCATTCCCAGGGGAGAATGTTAAAGGGGGAAAAAAAAGACATCGAAAACGTTTTATGAGCTTTGCGTCCTTTCCTGGTGAAGTGGGTGGGACACAACAGCTGGAAAAACTACTGAGGAGCAAATAAAAACATCACATTTCTAAAGGCAAAACACTGATTCCGAGGGCCAGGTGAACACGCCCCATTGGCACTTCTTCTCACCAGCCTTTGCATAGGAGGGAGCCTGGACGTTACAGAGGCAGAGAATTGAGGCGGATAACTCGGTAGATGGGAGTAATACACACAGTGATGAAAAGATTACGAAGACAGAAAACACAGGCCTGAGGACAAAAAGGAGTCCGAACAGGAAGAGTGGGAAAATCACCTTCCTAAGCACACATTTCTGTAAACACCAGCCTGATAAGTAAAGGCTATAAATAACGTAGTAAAATTCTATTCTCAATTATCTCAGTATTAAGCTATAGGCACTGTCAGAAGTTAAAAGATTCTCCGCCTTTTAAAGAATACAAAATATAAATATTACTGTTCTTATCGATTTTGATTAAATTCTTTTACATAAGGAAAACACTGTGACTCAGAAAGTCGAACTAAAAGTTGTGTCTACAACAGTCTTCTCCCCCTGGGTAAGAACTCTTTTCTTCATTCGTGACACCCTTTCTTGACGTTGCCAAAGAGCTTGGGCTAGAGCTAAACTTTGTTTTTTAACATATTCCACGGATCACTTAAACAACAAGCGCACTAAAGCTTTGTTTTCACAAACGAAGTAAAACTATCTTTGTCATCTGACCGTAAGAAAAGCATTTGGCTGTGGATTTTAAAGAGCGCTATCACATAGCCTAAACGTGGCAAGACAATACTGTTTTTAAAATAAGCAAAGCAATGTTTCTTTGCAGAATGCATTTTTGAATTTGGGCAAATCTCCCAGAATAAAGTAAACAACTGAAGTAACGCGACTTAGCCCTCGTATTACTACAACAGGGGCAAGGCATTCTCTCCGGTCTCCTTGATTATGATATTTGAACACTGTCTCTCTCTGCTGGCGTCTAACCCTCCTGGGAGCCCACAATCGAGCCCCCAAGAGCGTCCAGGAAGAGCACGGAGA